GAGTCTGCGCGTCCGGAGCCTGTGCTCCGCGGAGGGAGAGGCCACAACAGTGAGAGGCCCGCGTACAGCCAAAAAAAAAAAAAAAAAAAAGGCTCCAGGAGAGACCCTAAGTTTTGACTTAAAGAGCACTTGAGCAGTGAAATAAAAAATGGGGGTATGGGGAGCATCAGAATCAAGCCATGACTGCACACCCTAAGTGCACCATTTCTCCTTCCTGGTCTTAAAATGGGCTCATGTTAACTGTCACTTAGGGCAAGTGAAAAGGCTTCAAACTTAGGACGTATCAATATTAGCAGCAGCAGCTGGGATTTTAGAAAATGTACACCTTTTGATAAATGGTTTTTTTTGTTTTTGTTTTTTGTTTTTCTTTGTTTTGTATTTTTGCGGTACGCGGGCCTCTCACCGTCGTGGCGTCTCCCATTGCGGAGCACAGGCTCCGGACGCACAGGCTCAGCGGCCATGGCTCACGGGCCCAGCCGCTCCGCGGCATGTGGGATCTTTCCGGACCGGGGCACGAACCCGCGTCCCCTGCATCGGCAGGCGGACTCTCAACCACTGCGCCACCAGGGAAGCCCTGCTAAATGTTTTTGATGTCCAAAACACTTGGAAATGAAAAAGAAAGTCCCCTCAGCCTGAATCACTTAAAAGTAGACAGAATTAAACAACAGAAAAAAACATCCCAAACGCACAATACTAAATGAGATTAGAGCTCAGATGACCCAACATCATTCTTTAGAACTTACAAGTCCACAGACAAAACAAAGGCTGTGTAGAAGGTATTTCTGTGCGATTGAACGTTTGTTTTTTTAAAGACACCTTAAGCCAGAGCAATCAATGTGTTAAAAGAAAAGCTGTCTACAGAAACAAAAAACACATTTTCTGAGATGACTTTGATCCCTTACTCAAATTATTGGCTTAAAGGTACTTGCTTTTAAAGGCTTTGTATCTTCCATAACCACTCTCTATTGTCCTTGTTAAAGGATTATTTTCACCTTATTATTACTAATCTTTTCTTTGTAAGTAACCACACCTGGCTTTATACAAAAAAAAAAAAACGGTGCAGTGAATATTTGTCTTTTGTGGTAATCCGATGCATAATTTAGTTAACCTAGGCTACCATGAGAGGTGATTCTCTGTTGTGAAATGTGCTCACAGTAAAGGAAATCCACGCCAGACAGCTGAACGGCAGCGGGAGAACCACTTACCAAGCATGTCACTGCTTCGAACCAACCTTGACCGTGACTGTGTAGCCACTCCTACAGCAGGTGTCACTCATGTTAACTCAGCCTCCCGATCACAACCACACCTTTCTCTTACAAACGTGGCCTTTTACTTAATTAAGATAACACAGTCAGGCTGAAAGGCCCATCTCAGCCCCTGTGAAAAGTCCTTGAAAAACAGGCACTTTGCTTTGCGCTGTGAGCACTCTGACATGACTGTTACCTTACCTGGATGAAATCAAGAAACGTCAGGGGCAGCAAGTCATCCATATGCCCAATGTCTTTGGAGAAACGATTCAAAATTCTTCCTGCAAGAACAGGATATGAGAAATTACTCATTTCCCCAGACAGACCCTTTAAGAGAAACAATTCACGAACAAATCAAAACAATATTTTAAATGCATATGTATTTAATATATTATAGATTCATATGAAATAAGCCAATGTCAGTGGTAAAGAAAAAAAATAGACGTTACCTAAAGAGATATTAAAATACCAATGGCAGTGAGAGGGCAGTTGAAAATCTTGGGCCTTATTTTTAAACGGGGGTGGGGAAGGGAGAAGCGGGTCTTGTGGAAGTATCGGGAAGGGCTGGTGGATTTTAGGATGTTTCGTCCTTTTACATCCATCCTATTTAAGACTTCAAGTGCTAGAGGCGGTAAACAATTTAAAATTCATAAATTACTCCTAATTGTTACACTAACTTTGATTTATCAGAATTAATGTTGCTAAGTGATACTTTAAAAAAAAAAAAGAAAACTAATTACAACCTCTCTGCAATTTTTTAATCCCCAGGATGGTGCATAGCACCTTACATCTTGGGAAATTTGGGATTCTTCCAATGTCCAAGTTGTGCGTTTACTACCAGGGTAATAAGTTGTTGTTTTCAGAGGCGCACCAAGTGTGCAGAAAACACGACTCATGCTTAAGCATCCAAGAAGACCAGAGGGATGGAAGCAGGAAAACAAATATTACTTGACGACTGAAGATCATTTCTTATTGCTTTTATTTCCCTTCTGAAAATTCACCAAAACTGTATACTCTGAAGGCTGCAGGATTGGAAGATGAGAACTAATTTGTAATAAATATCTGGTCTTTTTAATGATTAAATTCAAAGGCACTGAAGTAACAACACACGCAGGCACGCACACAGCCTATCCTGGTGTAGCAACTCCTGAGAAATATGTTATCTAGGCCCCTGAACTCCTTTCATAATTGAGGCTCCAGGAAGCCAGCCTGCAGGTGAGATGTGGGGCCTCTAGGTGCTCTTCCTGACCTCTGTCAGAGGTGACTTTCCCCCGAGGCCCTTCACACCAAGCCACGGCTGGACACTGAATGAGCAGAGGCTGGGCGCTGAGTTTCCGCTGCCGGGATGAGCCGGCTCTGCTGTCCTCCGCAGGGCGCCTGGCTCACCGGAAGCACACAATGCGCCCAAGCCGGGGGCTGCAGACATTGGAGGCTTTCGCCCTTGGCCAGGCCAGGCCGTTACAGGCTGGGCCTCAATTCTCCTGTCTCAGGCTTAGGAAATACAGACTCCAGAAACCGTCTTTTAGTGACATGTTTGGAGGACCAGGGACAAATTTTCGGGGCCTCTAGGAATGCTTGCTTTAGAAGGTGATTCTCAGGATTAAATGGGCTCATGCAGGTGAAGAGCCCAGTCACAATGCCCGGTGAGTTAACAGGTGCTCAACCACCAAGGTGAGATAATGACTATTCCCCCCAGGTTCTGCAGCATCATGTCACCTTGGAAAGTCTACCAGACACTGTAGGAATGTGTCCACCTGTTAAAATGCACTTGCCGATTCAGGAGTGTTGGGGGGAGCTAGAGAGTCTGCATTTCTTCCCAGCGGTCAGGTGACCCCCCTTTCTGCTATTTCTCAGATCACACTTCGAGGGGCAAGAAGATGGGAATCATTTAATCAATTCTGCTTTAGGAACATTAAAATCAGATGCGCAATTTCCCCACATATTCTTATGCATATTGTGGCCCATTTAGTTATTTTTTACCTTCTCAAAGCAGCAATGCCCAAATAAGGAATAGACACGACAAAACATGTTAAAGACATAGTTTAAATTCTTGTGACTTCTTCAATGGAAGAATACAACTTTTTAACGTAGGCAGAATTTGGAAACAAGTACAATTTGTCTTAGAAAGTGTTAAAAGAGATATTGGCTACTCAGGGATGAACAGTGCGTGTCAACCCCCTCTTTACCATTCACCAGATGTGGGAGTCCTAAGGTCTGAGAGACCCAGGGTTGGCAAATAGTGTAAAATACAAGCAAAGCAAAAACAATGAGAAAAACCCATCTCCCCTCACAGCAACTGCAGACACTGAACAGAATGTCAGAGATCATCAAAAAACTAAACTCTTGTTCACCAAGGAGCTAGGTATAGAAAATGTGAGATCAAAAGGTTCAATAGTTACTTCTTTTTATTTATTTATTATTATTATTTTTTTGGCAGGGGGTTGCTGCCTTGGGTCTTCATTGCTGCTCGCAGGCTTTCTCTGGTTGCGGCGAGCAGGGGCTACTCTTCGTTGTGATGTGTGGGCTTCTCTTTGCAGTGGCTTCTCTTCTTGCGGAGCACAGCCTCTAGGCGTGCGGGCTTCAGTACTTGCAGCACGCGGGCTCAGCAGTTGTGGCACATGGGCTTAGTTGCTCCACGGCATGTGGGATCTTCCCAAAGCAGGGATCGAACCCATGTCTCCTGCATTGGCAGGTGGATTCTTAACCACTGCGCCACCAGGGAAGTCCTCAACAGTTACTTCTCTGCACCAAGAAATATTAAGAGAACGAATGGTGTTTGCAGAGTATTTCACCTGGCTCTGGAATAGACTGTTGTAACCAGAGGTGTGATTCCAAGTTCATGGCCTCATAGTACTAAACTTTTCTCAAAAGTCTCCAAATGAAATCCTTACAATGAATTCCCTTCACACACATGCCATGACTCTTCACCCAAATGACACGTGGCCCCTGCTGGAGTATCTCTAGGGAGGTAGAGGGAAGGGGGATTCACATGAACACCAGGAACCCAATGCATTTTCAGTCTGTTCTGTTAGACAGGGCTTTCTCACATGAAACCGAATCTTGCCTTCCTAGAACACCCAACCTCTGCCGCTTCTTCTGTCCTTATAACCACACAAAGTGAACCTAATTTCTCTTGATATGACAGCCTTTCAAATACTTGAATGAAGTGAATCATATCCTTTCCAGCAACTACTCCTTGGTGCCTCAGTGATCCCTCATAAGGCTCGGTGTCCTATCTTGGCCGCTGCCTCTTGTCCAGACTCAGATGGACAGTCTCAGTTAATGCCTTGTGCCCAGGATTAAAATCAATACCCCAGGTACTGCTCGATGACCTAAGGGTAAAGTGGTATCACCACCCCTCCCATCTTGCATATCCAATCACAGAGCCAACAATCACGATAAATTCTGGTGGCCAGGTCACATTTTAGATGTGGATATAATGAATATCCACATGGCTCCCATTTGTACTACACAGGAAGATATTGGGGACCAACGAGCAGCATGTATAAACAAATCTAAGTGTGTACCTCTTCTGACCCAGAAATTGCATTTCTAGGAACATATACCCAGGAGTTAATGAGTGCATCAAAGATATTCAATGTGGCACACTTGGCAAGTCAGAAGTAGAAAACAACTTGAACAAGTCTATAATGTATTATGCGCAATTTTAATTTTTTCTCTCCCCAGGGGAAGCCAACTCACTGACTAGCCACCTAGTCATTCCGATTCCCCCCCCCCCCCCTCAAACAATACAAGGCCAGGAGAGAAGCCAGGAAAGTGGACCAGGCTTGCCATACCCAGCAAAGATCAGAGGCAAAGTGGCTTTGGGCACGAGCCCTGTGACAATGGCCCCAGCTCCCATGAGGACCCCAGTTCCCAGCTTCAGTTACAGGAAACTCAGCATCGTTCCAGCTCCAGGAGATGCCCATTTCCTTTCGATCAAGGTCTCCTCATATGAACTAACTTGTGTAGATTCTGCCCCTAGCAACCCAAAAGCCTAGACTAGAACAAGCGCCACATGTCCAACAAGAGACTTGCTTTCTAAAATTAGTTGGGGTAATTGTACAGTTAAATTTTTGAATTACTAATTACCCTTTTAAGTAACAAAACTAACCTTTTTATTTCGACCATTAATAGTTAAACTGTTTTTAAACATGGCAATAGCCTTTGGGGCTGCTTAAGGCTACTGAATTGCACTCCAACCTCCACCCAACTACTTTTTAAAAAAAAATCTTTTTATAATACTGTGCTTTCAGCTGATACATTATGCTATTGCCCAGAGCTTGCCACCAACTTCCATTTTTCCTTTTAGAGCTGAGGACTGAGGAGACCCTACATCCAAGTAGAGCCAAAAAGAAGACTCCACACACTCTCAGCAAAGACCTAAGTGATTCTCATGTTTAAAGGCATAGATTTTTCTGAAACATTGTTCGGTGAGGAACTGTTTCAGCGAGCTTCCAGATTCCACCTGGGGTCTGGGTATATTGTCAGAACATATCATAGTATAATCTATTTAGTGGTTTGACTACTTTTCATGTATATTAGTCTTGAGTTTACATCTAGATTACACACCCTTTGTAAACATGGACCGCATTTCTCACACAATCTATAACAAAATGCAAAGTGCTGGGCAAGGCAGAAGGTGGGGTTTACTAATAAAACACCACAAAGGCACTGGCTTTCCAACCTTCTTTTTTAAAATAGGAACCCTTCTGTGCAGATACACTCTTACACAAAAACCTAAAACAAATCTATGAAATGAATTATTTCAAAAGGGGCTCATCCTGAAGGGAGATATATAGTAAGACCTGGAACCCACGTAGTGACCATCTTGTACATGTCAATCGGGGGCACAGTTGGAAAGATTAATTCTGATCACTACGGAGTCCACCAGCACTCTAGTCGTGTTCGATTTATAAACACATGGGTGAACGTTCCAGGACCTTGAAGGCTCCTGTGCATCCAAGTGAAGTTTGATCACAAAGACCCCAAGACTCACAAAACAATGCTTCTAAGCTATAATCTGTATGAAATCTCCAAGGCACCTGGATTAAAATGTAACTTTCTCAAGAGCTCTGTCTGGGTGAGGCCTGAGATTCCTGATTTCTAAGAACTCCCGGGGTAATGTGGATGCTGGCTGCTCAAAGGACCACGCTTTGAGTAACAAGGAAGAACGTGACCATTTCTGATGATGTTCTGTCTCAAGAACCTCTGATCTGGTTTTATCAACATGTATAATTATGTCTCCTTTATTTATTTCTTTTGGCAGAGTGGCTCACCA